AAAAACCTTCCGCCTGTTAACAACTCTCTTGAAATGTGCCCAAAAAGATGTGTTTAGAGGGTTGGAGATCTGATCATTGTAAAGGAAAAAAAGACTTAGAAATCTTGAGTTTTACTTTTCTACACTTCTCAATTTTTAGCAAATCTGTCTTTTTAGTAATATGAGGAAATTGAGTAGAAATGTAAAATAAGTAAGTAAAATAGGTCATTAGAAATTTAAAAGTAGCACACCAAACTGTATCCCAACACTTGGATTCTGAAGTGCTGCTAAGACAATGAGCTCCATATTAACAGAGGGAGCGCTGTAGGAAGAAATCGCCTAAAGATCACCAAATACTAAAGATAACTAAGTACAAAAACATCTGGAATCTTTTTCTTAAACATATTGATAATTAGTTGTTTTTCTGTCTTTTTAAATTTCCTTTCCCTCTTCTTGTCTTTAAACTTTTCTGGGAAGGCAGTATGACTACCATTGGGCACCAACGTGATCTCATTAGATATCAAGGAAAATGCTTCAAAACTGGCAATATTGAAAAGCATTCCAAATTTGTCTTGTTTTTAATATTTTAAATATATATATATATATTTATTGAGGTAACATTGGTTTAAAACATTATATAAGTTTCAGGTGTACATCATTATAGTTCAGTTCTGTATGGACTGCATCATGTTTACACCAAAAGTCTAGTTTCCATCCATCACCATACGAATGTCCCCCTTTACCTCTTTTGCCCTCCCTCCACCCTCCTTCCTCTCTGTACCCACCGAGCTTTTCTATGTATCTGTGTTTGTTGTTGTTGTTTTCTATCTTTCACATGTGAGTGAAATCATATGGTATTTGTCTTTCTTTGTCTGACATGTCATTTAGCATAATACCCTCAAGGTCCATCTATGTTGTGGCAAATGGCAAGATTTCATCTTTTTTTTTATGGCTGAAGAGTATTCCATTGTGTGCATATATATATATGTATATATATATACCTCCATTTGTCCCTTGATGGGCACTTAGGTTGTCTTGGCTGTTGTGAATAGTGCTGCAATGAACATAGGGGTGCATATATCTTTTTGAATTAGTGTTTTTATATCCTTTGGATAAACATCTAGAAGTGGAATAGCTGGATCATGTGGTAGTTCTATTCTTAGGTTTTGAGGAATCTCCATACTGTTTTCCATATGGCTGCACCAATTTATATGCTCAGCAGTGTATGAGGGCTCTCTTTCCTCCACATCCTCTCCAACACTTGTTATTTCTTATTTTTTTTAATAGCCATTCTGATGGGAGTGAGCTGAGATCTCTTTGTGGTCTTGATTTGCATTTCCCTAATAATTAGTGATATTGAACATCTTTTCATGTGCCTGTTGGCCATCATTTTATCTTCTTTGGAAAAATGTCTCTTCAAATTCTTTGCCCATTTGTAATCCAGTTGTTTGTTATTTTGTTGTTGAGTTGTATGAGTTCTTTATGTATTTTGGTTATTAACCCCTTATTGAATATGTGAACGTCTTCTCCCAATTGGTAGCTTGTCTTTTTGTTTTGTTGATGTTGTCCTTTGCTGTGCAAAAGCTGTTTAGTTTGATGTCGTCCCTTTGTTTATTTTTGCTTTTGCTTTTCTTGCCTGAGGAGACGTATCCAAAAAGATATTGCTAAGACCAATGTCAAAGAGTGTATTGCCTGTCTTTTCTTCTAGGAGTGTTATGGTTTTAGGTCTTACACCAAAGTCTTTAATTCATTTTGAGTTAATTTCAACAAAGGAGGCAAGAACATACAATGGAGAAAAGAAAGTCTCTTCAATAAATGATGTTTGGAAAACCGGACAACCACATGTAAAAGCATGAAAGTAGATGCCTCTCCTACACCAAACTTTTCTGCTCCTTTCTTCCTTTGTCTAGCTGCTTCAGTCTCTCTTCTCTCCAGCACACGAGGCACTCCCTCTGCCCCAGGCTGCTTGCTTATGGACCTTCTATACTTATAACCACAACCACTGAACTTGGACCATTTGGCTCACATAGTTTCCCTGAAGATTTCACTGACTCCTCCAATAGCAACTTCCATAAACTTCTGTTAGCATGTCCCTCTGTGCATTATTCTTGACATCATACTTATTTGTATAGTCCACCTCTAGTAGAGTCTCAGCTCCTTGAGAAAAGGAACAGTTTCTTGCTCCTTTTTGAAGCCTCCATGCCTGAAACAGTGCCTAGCAGGTGGAAGGTGCAATATACATTTGAGGAGGTTTAGAAGCAGGAATGAGTTGTCCTTATTTCTCTGCCTTACTTAGATTGCTTAACTTGGGTTTCTGTTTAAAAGTACTTTTCTCTGAAAATGTAAGCCAAAAATAGTCATGATAATCATTTGTTCCTATGTAGTTATATTTAACATTTATTTCTCAATGCATAGTTTATCATGGAAATAATGTAAACTACTGATTCTAAGAACATTGCCAGCAAATGCATTGATTTTATTTAGCATGTGTTTGCAATCAGAAATAAATATGTATATTTTAATGGTTGTCATGGAAACCCATTTATGTAGAAGAGTGTTATTTTATCAATTATATCTCCTAGATATAAAAAAAGTACTGAAAAATATGTTGGACATGTAAAAATCCAAACTTTCCCCTCCTTTTTTAAAGCAGTGTTATTTCCCCAGTGTGCATATAAGATAAATTATTAATCCAGAATGTAGACTAAGTTCTTTGGATATTTAAAGTGAAAAGAAAAATTGCAGAATTATGAAGAACTAAAAATCAGATATTGAGTGTCAACAGTTTTTAAAAATAGCTTTCACAATTTTCAAACCACCTAGACTAACTCACGTTAAGATATGTGATGGGGATCATCTAGATACTTAACTACTGGATGCAGTCTAGATATTTACAAAGTTATAGCCAACGACCTTTACAAAAATTTCCCCTTGCAACCTCACATGCCCTGTTTCAGAACCTTGAAAATGCCTGTGAGGTGAATGAAGCCCATTTGGGATACTTTGTAAGCTTTACCTAATGTGGCCGTGCTAACTCCAGGCGTACCTTTAATGCCATCCATGGCAAGTTTTCATTTGGCTGAGAAACACTGGGACTTTTTGTCGGCTTGAGGAACCAAGTTATTATTCTAGTTAACTTCAAGGAGAGTTTTGCAAGATCCAGTTTTATGGCATGGAAACATCTCTTTTGATTTTTCTGGGCCTTTACTTTTAACAAATTAACAACAAAACAAAAACAAAAACCCTCAGTATTCATATTCATAGAACTCATTTGAACTAGTTTCAGTTGGTTATATTGTTATCTTGAAGTGTTTAATATTGGGCCAACATTGGCAGGTATTAAGTGGGCTTGATAGTTTGACTTGTCCAACAGATGTTCTAGAGCGAGAGAAAATGGAAGGGGGTGTGTGTATGTGCGTGAGTGTGTGTGTGTGTGTGTGTCAGAGAGAGAGAGAGGCAGACAGAGAATGCATGTGGAGGTGGGGCAGTTAGCAGGATTGGAGAAAGAGATGGAAACAATGCCTGTGGCTTTAGTAGCCCCTCAGGTTTTATTTTTGAATGTTTAGAGGTTTCTCCTCATTCAGCCTTGCACTAAGGAATGGTATCAGTAAAGAAATTTGTCAGATCTTGTGGCTATACCAGTTGTTATATAGGAAAATAGTAAGGAACCCTAGGAAAATAAATAAGGATTAGTTCAGGAAACATAGCGAAAAATGCTGCACTGGTATAAATTGAATAATAAAATTCCTAGTCATATTTTGCCATAAATAGAGGTTTGGGAATTTGTCATTCACTTTATTTAAAATTCAGAAATATTAAAGGTGCAGGGTTCTCTCATTACAGAAATAATAGAATTCCAGCTATTACAGAGTTAGGGTCATTTAAATGGCTCTGGCATGTATTATATCAGTAAGTGGAACATCTGTATGAAATGTCCACCTGCTGGTCTACTACCCCTACACGCACATTTCAATGAACCACACTTAATCATTTTAAGACTTCTTCTAATGAAGCTTTATCTAGATTAACATTTTAAGCACAAATACTTTTAGGCATTAAAACTCCCGTACTAAATGAAATTGCATTGTCTTGTTTACCCTTGTTGATTAATAGGCAATCTGTTAACTGTTAGAATAGTCCAATTGTGGCAGTAGAAGGAGATTAGTAATTCAGTGATGTTTGTGGATATAATCATCATTTCTCCTGAAGGCTGTGAATTAGAATATCACTTACACACTATCCGTAGGCAAGGAAAAGATATAATATTTTTAGACATGTGTACCCACTATTTTGCTTGAATTGTTCAGCTTAGGGTCACTGCAGCAAAACAAATGCTTCTGGGGGCAAAATGCTATTTTGATGCATGCATATCCTTCTTAAATAGTGTGAATGTCTATTAAAGGAAACACAACCAACAAATAGCGGAGTAATAATCCAGTATCCTAATTTCTGTTTTCAGAACATTATTGCTTTGTTAATCAAGCTTCTAAAGAGAAATGTTGCTTCTCGTTTTTTTCCAAAGGATAGATGTTATATATCAAACTTCTTTGCAATCTTATTTAACTTATTCCCAGGCAGCAGAAAACTAAACTTTTGGCTCCAAAGAATCTGGAAGTAAATTTGGAAAAATTCCATTTCCTTTTGGAGGACTTTTCTATCTTTTGTGTTTCTTGGGATCTTGAATCAAAGTATGTCAACGTGTTTGGCCTTCACATGACCTAAATGATTTATTCATTAAGTTACAAATTGTTAAGCACCGAGGTGTCAATGTGGGACCCAATGTTTTAAATGGAGAAATCAGTGCAAAAGGGAAGAAGGATAGGATGCAGCTACATTCTTTGGCGATAGTTGGGTATCTATATGAGGCCTCCAATCTAAAGGCGACTCTAGAACCCTTCTTGTCTGATTTTTCATAGCTGAGCATATCGCTACAGTTTGAAATTATGGTGGAAGAGGGAGTTTCATGTTTTAGGGAACTCTGACTGAGAAACACTCATGAGTTGGTTCTCTCTGTGTTGCAGTCCCTCTGTTGTGAAATCAAGCAGCGACGTCGCGGAGTGGCCTCCATCCTGCGATTATGCCAGCATCTTCTGGATGACCGGGAGACCTGCAATCTGAACGCAGACCACCAGCCCATGCAGCTGATCATTGTAAATCTTGAAAGAAGGTGGGAAGCCATCGTCATGCAAGCCGTCCAGTGGCAAACAAGGCTACAAAAGAAGATGGGAAAGGAGTCTGTGAGTGTTTTTCTTTTTTAAAACATAATAGTCTCTCATTTTTGTCAGAAAAAATTTCTTTCAGGCCTTGAAAAATATGTTCATCTTACAAGTGGGGTTGCTAACTAAAGGGATGAAGCTTTCTCCAACCACTAAATAAAACTCCATTTGTCATAACATGGAGATTTATTTGCCTACTAATAAGATGCATTTTAGTGTATCTCATTATCTTTTTAAAAAATCACAGGGAGATTTTCTTAAATTTACCAAATTAAGCCATTAATTCTTTTAGTCATTCCTTCACCAATGATATTCATTAATCATACAATAGCCCGTGAAGATTTTGCTAAAAGGTCGCTTACCACTCTCAGAGCATATGGAGGAATGTGTATGCTCTGCAGATAAGGCAATGAAATAAAATGTACTGTTTACCTTCTTGTTCAATATGAGTTAACACTGTTTATTTGTACAATAATCTCCATTGTTCCTTCTTGGAGCTTCTTCTGATAGAGTTGTTTTGCTGATAACTATTGAGTTTCCTCTTAGAGTTTAAATGCAATGTTCAAGGTAGGGCTCTAGATCCCTTGTAAGGATTTTCCAAATTGATTGTAAATTCAAGCTGTTGCTAAGATGAAGGAAATATATGTGACTAGAGTTGTTTTATTAAAATATAGAATATGCATTTGTTTAGAAAACCTTGATATCCTTAAGGGAAAGGATTTATTGATAAAAAGATTGCATTCCCCAAATGACCTTGAAGACAATGGCTATTAGTTGAAGGCTTAATTCTCATGCTTAACTTACATAAATGAAATACAAACATATGTATATACATTCATAGAGTGGAAAGTTTTTCTTCTATGTTTATATTATCAGTTATATGTCATCAGAAAATTCAGGATTCAAAATGGAAAAATCAAATTTAATAATCTTGCAACTGAAAAACAGACTTCTCCTGTGAATTCCAGTTGTAACAAAGCCTTAATATTTGCTATCTGATGTGTTTGGCATTGGGGACTGCGAGCAGAAGGGACAATGAATCAATAAGCCTTCTCGCTCTTTTTGCATCTGTAGCTATGTTGAGTCTGGGGAGTGATTTTTATCCTCAGCAGTTCCGTTTAATTGTTTTGAGCTGAAGTTGTTAAATTTCTTAAGACTTCCAAATTATTATGAGTAATCAGAGTCTATATAATTGGATGTCTTTTCTTGAAATAACCTGTTTGTTGTGAAGCTGTTTAGCTAGAGAGTTTTTTTGTTTGTCTATTTTTTTGACTGTTTGGAAGGGCAGAGGAGGTTATAGTTTATTCCTATTTTGAAGCCTCGAAGCATGGTAGTGGCCATAATAAAACTTACACATAAACCAACTGCATCTGGAGAAGCTCTGACGTTTTGGAAGTGTTCAATCTGCTTTGGAGGAGACAAAAAGAGTTTCCTTGGGGATTTATTTGAAATCATATGATCAGGGATGCTGGACTAGATCTCTGCAGACTAAATGTAGACATTTTTATCCTACTTCTGGGGTAAAGGTAAGCCTTAGCTTTGAAGCCTTGACTGCTTCTTAGAGGTTCAAGCTACTATACAGAGGTAGATAAAAATTGCAGATGGAGAAAAGTCTCTCCTCTTTGGCTGCCGAAGGTATAGCTTGTTTGGAATGATGAAGGTAGCAGATAGGGTCCTCTGTGCTAAACAAGGATAAAAATCACTGTTGAGAAAGGGATAGAAGAGTAGAGAGTGGCACTAATCAAATAATAGAGAAAAAAAGACACAGGATCTACAGAATAAGAAGAGAGAGTTTTAGCGGACTTCTTTTTCAGAAAAAAGAATGCATGCACTGCATGTCAGAAGACAGTGGAGAAACGTCTTTAAAGTGTTGGAAGAAAATAACCTAACCCAGAATTCTATTCGCAGAGAAAATATTATTCAAAAAGGCAAACAAAAATAGTTTTTAGACATAAAAGCTGAAAAAAATCATCACCAGCAGAACGATGCCATAAGAAATGTTAAGCAAAATCCTTCAGGCAAAAGGAAAATGATATCAGATGGAAACCTGAATCTGCACAAAGAAATGAAAAGCACTGGAAATGGTTACTATGTGGGTTAATATAAAATATTTTTTGTATTATTTAAAACTGTTTAAATGATGACAGATTGTTTAAAGCAAGATAATAACAATGTATTGTGGAATTTATAACACATGTAGAAGTAAAATACATGACAACATTATCACAAAGGCCAGGAAATGGAACTTAACTGTTGTATGGTTCTTATGCTATATGTGGTGGTATAGTATCACTTAAAGATAGACCATGATAGGATAAAATGTATCCTATAACTCTTTCAAAACAAAAGAAGCTATAACTAATAGGCCAACAAAGGAAAAGAAATGAAATTATTTAAAACAACCACACACAATGGAGAAAAGAAATGAGAATAAAGTACAGATGTAATAAATAGAAAACAAACAAGATAGAAGATTAAACAAGATGCATCAATAATTTTGTTAAATGTAAATGGACTAAAAACCCCAATTAAAAGGCAGTAGTTGTCAGATTGGATAAAAAAGCAAGATTGAACTATACGTTACCTATGATAAATCCACTTTAAGTATAAAGACAAAATAAGTTAAAAGTAAAAGGATGGAAAAATGTATATGAAGCTAATACAATCAAGAGAGTTGAAGTGGCTATATTAATATTAAACAAATTCTATTTCAGAGCAAAGAATATTATAAGACATAAAGAAGGACATTTCTTAATGATAAAGATGACAAACCAGAGGACACACTGTTACTAAATGTTTATGCTCTAATAATAGAACTAACAAATACGTGAATAAAAAACTGATACAACTGCAAGAAGATAAGAATTCACAATTTTGGGCAGAGGTTCCAATACGTTTTCTCAATAATTGATAGTATGAGTACACAGGAAATCAGTAAAATGTGAAAGACTTGAATCAGATCATAAATCCACTTGACCTAACTGACATTTAAAACACTCCATCCAACAGCAGAAGAATATACATTCTTTTCAAGTGCAGAACATCTATCAAAATTGACTCTTTTCTGAGCCTCAGAACAAGTCTCAAATTTAAAAGGATTCATATCACACAAAGTATTTTCTCTGACTACAGTGGAATTAGTTTAGAAATAAATAATAGAAATATATTCAGAAAATCCTCAAATATATGGAAGATAAATAGCATGCTTATATCCAACTCATGGGGCAAAGAATAAATGAAAAAAAGAAATTAGAAGGTATTTTGAACTGAATATAAACAGAAAAAAATAAAATTTGTGCTGCCAAAATAATGATTTCAGCTATCACCTTATAAAATAAGAAAAAGAAAGGTAAATTAAGTACAAAGTACATAGAAGTAAGGAAATAATAAAGATCAGAGCAGAAATTGTTGAAACTGAAAACAGAAAAACAATAGAGAAAAAAGTGAAACAAAAAGCTGTTTTTTTGAGAAGATCAATGAAATTGCTAAACCTCTAGCAAGAGTGATCAAGAAAAAAGGAGAAAAGAAGTAAATTATCAATATCAGGAATAAGAGACAGTCATCACTAAAGAATCTACTAATATTAAAACAATATAAAGGAACATGAATAATTTTATGCCATTAAATTCGACTATTTAGATAGAATGGAAAAATTCCTAGAAATTTGCAAATTACCAACATTTCCTCAAGAAGAAATACACAACCTGAAGAGCCCTATATCTGTGAAATAAATTGAACCATTAGTTTAACACCTCTCTACAAAGAAAAATCCAGGTGTAGATGGCTTTATGGGTGAATTCTCCCAGTTAAGGAAAAAATAGTGCTAATTTTATGCAACGTCTTCCAGAAAATTCAAAAGGCAGGAATACTTCCCAACTCATTCTCTGGTCCAGCATTACCTAGACAAAGACATTACAAGAAAACTACAGACCAATCTCCCTCATGAATATGGATAAAAAGGTTCTTAACAGAGTTTTATCAAATCAAATCAACAATATATACAATATATAATACCACATGACCATGTGAGGTTTATCCTAGAAATGCACTTAGTTAATCTTTTGAAAAAAAAATCAGTGTAATTCACCACATTTACAGACTAAGAAAGGAAAACTATATGATTATCCCAGTGGGTGCATAAAAAGCATTTGTCAAAATCCAACATCCTTCCTGATAAAAACTCAGAAACCTGACAATAAAGTAGGAACTTCCTCAGTGTAATTAAGGGCATAAAGGAATAACCTACAGCTAATATCATCCTTAATGATAGAAGACTGAATGCTTTTCTCTAAATATCCAGAACAGGGCAAGGATGTCTATTTGCACCATTCCTATTCAACATTGCACTGGAAGTTTTAGCCAGTGCAATAAAGCAAGAAAAAGGAATTAAAGACATGCTGCTTAGAAATTAAGGAGCAAAATTATCTTTCTTCACAGACTTCATGATCATACATGTAGAAAATGCTATGGAATCTTCAAAAAAAGATCTTAGAGCTAATAGGGGAATTTAACAAGGCTATAGGATACTAGATCAATATACAAACAGCAACTGTATTTTTATGTACTATCAATGAATAGTCAGAAATTGAAATTAGAAAACAACATCATTTACAATAGCAGCAAAAACATGAAATGCTTAGGGATATATCTGACAAAAAATATGGAAGATCTGTATTCTAAAACTACAAAATATTGGGGCCAGCCCCATGGCTAAGTGGTTAAGTTCCCGCATTCTTCCTCTCGGCCCAGGGTTTCGCCAGTTTGGATCCTGGGGGCAGACCTAGCACCATTTATCAAGCCATGCTGAGGCAGTGCCCCAGATAGCATAGCCAGAAGGACCTACAACTAGAATATATAACTATGTACTGGGATGCTTTGGGGAGAAGAAGGAAAAAAAAAGAAGATTGGCAACAGATGTTAGCTCAGGTGCCAATCTTTAAAAATAAAATCAAATAAAAAGAAGAACTACAGAATATTGCTGAGAGAGATTAAATAACGAAAATGAGTGATAAACTATACTG